TTAGTCTCATTAGTTGCAGTTACATTAGTCTCATTAGCCTCATTATTTATTGATTTTGTAAGTTTTGACTCGATTTTCACAGTTTCTTTTCTAACAAGATTAACGACGCTGGTGACTTCGTCAGCCACTCTGGAAGTCATACTGGATACACGAAATTTTTTTAATATTTCAGCAGTATGATGTAATATTTGGCTAGCAATTGTTAAAGGAGAAAAACTGGGAAAGACTTCATCTTTATGTTTTTGGAAAAAATCCACCATGAAAGGACCATCGTATTCTGGACGATTATTATTATTAGGATTTGGTTTTGCAAATGCTAAAGCAAGTATAGAACCGGTTGAAGTTCCAGCAATGACATCAAATAAATCGGCACATTTTAAGTCAATATTTGGATTGTCTTTTTTTAATTCTTCATTAACTCTTTTCTCGATTTCAGAGACAACTTTGGCAGGAATTAAACCTCGAATTCCACCTCCATCAATTGATAGAATGAATTTTGTATCACCCATAATCTTTCAATGTTAAAATATTATTAGAAATTATATAATATAATACCGTAATAAATAAAATTTGTAATAAATAAATTGATTAAGATATATTTACCAAGAATCGTTAACTGTTTTTATCGACTTAAAAACGTTGGTTACGATGAATAAAGTTGTTAAAAGAAGTTCTTATATTAAATTTAGATATGACTATAGCTTAGTTATATTTGGTTATTTTATTATTAAGCTGATACTTGATTATTAATAAAATTAATTATGTGCATAAAATCGTTTTTTTTTTTCAAAAAAATTGCAGATGTGGAGAGGAGAGCTTATTCTTTTATGAGAATAATCTGTTAGTACTCGTGCATAAGGGTAGCACACAAGACCTTTTGCATATCGATTATCGTTATAAATATTATTAAGAGTTGGACAAAAAAAAAAAAAGTACAACAATGCACAATTCTAAAGATCAAAATAGATATACAGATATAAATAAATAAAAAAAAATCAATTGATATATGTACGTACGTACGTACGTACGTATGTAAATGAACTTGCCAAAATCTCAATACAGGGATACAGGGATACAGGGATACAGGGATACAGGGATACAGGGATACAGGGATACAGGGATACAGGGATACA